TCTCTCTCTCTCTCTCTCTCTCTCTCTCTCTCTCTCTCTCTCTCACACACACACACACACACACACACAAAACACACAAAGAGTGTCACATGTAATATAGGCTCTCTGGTCAAAATAAAAGACTGAATCCTCTTCTTAGAAGCACCTAGCTGGTTTATCTGACCTTGGTGTTTTCTGTGGTATGCATGTCTGTCTATCCCCAGTAAGGAATAAACTTGTTCAGCAGGTTCTTCAGCTTTGAGATGGAATGTGTAGGTGCATACTAGATGAGAGATTGGACTAGGATGAAATTGAGATTTGGCGTGGGGTGAGACTTTAGATAAGGTTCCCTTGGTGAGAATGAGCCTGAAGACTGAGGTTTGACTATGGTCATCTGATTTTTAGAATACCATGGGGTACACTTCCTCTGAAATATCCAGCAGCTACCATATAGAACCCAGTAATCTCTGTTTATAGATTTTGTGCCTCATTCAAGAGAAACACTTAACCCCCCAAATTCTGTGGTGCATTCATAATTTTTCAAGGCTCCTTGTATTCCTGCCTAAGTGACAGTCCTTGAAGATTCTAACTCTGTCCTTGGTTCTAACTCTGTGAAAAGAGAAGCAGAAACTTTAGAACCATCTGGGTTTTATATGCAGTGGACCTACAAATTAGAATCCCTGAATAATAGACATCACTCCCTGAAACACACGTTTCCTTGAATCCTGCTTTCGGGAAATCCCAGGCCCATTCTGAAGCTTGCCTGTCTCTGGAGTTGGAGTGACACATGAGAAAATTCCACCAAATCCAATTCTTGTTGATTAATATGCACATTTCTTTTTGTTCAGTGGAGCAGAATTTTATTACAACCGCAGAAAACTTGGATTTGGTAACTTTGAACCCTTGCAGAGAAGCATAACCAGCTTAGCAGGGAAATTAGCAGCCTCGCTACGTGCAGTGAATAAAATTTCCCAGACTCTGGTATCACTGTTTCATGAGAGATAAGAACATAGAAAATATTTGGCCCAAGAAATTTTTCAACCACATTTACCTCTGCAGGAGAAATATTACTATGTGAAATCATTTTGCTGTCACTGTTAGGGATTTGGTTTTATAGCTTTCTTTAAAATTAGGTTTTTATAGATTTGCATATTGAGAAGATTGGTGGTCGCTGGTGGAATATTAAACTACTCTTTCTCTCTTTCCTAATAGGGGCTAATTTTCAGGTTCAAGTTCCTCATGCTTATCACGTTGGCCTGTGCTGCCATGACTGTCATCTTCTTCATTGTCAGTCAGGTATGTGGACCCTGAGAGGTCAAAGTGAAACTGTCCCTTGGAGAGGTGCCTTCTCTCTGCACAGAAAATCCCTCACAGTTGCTGAGAAAAGGACAGGTAGTCTAGGATGCTGGGCAACTGGGTAAGCTATGTTTAGAAAGCAGCTCTTATCTAGGTCTTGTTACCACATGGCTAGAGATGGAATGAATTTCCCCTTTCATTATAGCCTGTTAGAGGAAAGTGTTGCTAAAGTATAAGCCTGTAGCCATATTGAAAGGTGCTTATTCCATTTACTTAAAGAATAAATGTTTTAAGCCCTTTATCCCGACACTAACAAGCAAGTGTTAATTTGATTCAGTCCTTATCTAGCACTAACATAGATCCTTTTCCCTGTTGTGAGTATAGAAAACAAATCTCTATAATCTTAATGCAGAGATTGAGATATCAGTTAATGAATATATTAATATTAAGTAGTATATCTCCATTCTTGTAATTATTATCTTACCACTTGAGTATGAAATATAATTCGAAAATACCCTCATAGAACCTTACCTTTGTACTAGTGTTTCCAAAAATTAAAAATTCACCATGCTTGAAGATGTCATTGATAATGATAATACTTGTAAAATATCAGTAACTTGTTTGGGAAAGTGGAAAGCACAGTTTCAGACTAATGCATTAGTGTCCACCATTCATTTGGGCTTCATGGAAATCTTCTGGGTGGACAGGATACAAAGAATTATCCCACTTGGCTACAATATGAAATCCAATAGCCTTAGAGACATTTCTCTTTATGCTGTTTTCCAGCTAGTGAAACTGTGGATGGATTACTTAACAGTTAAGGGTTCCATTTCCTAATCTGTAAAATAGGTATAATAATAGTACCGCTGTCAGAAGGTAGGCTGTAAGGATCACAGAAAGTATACTTGCAAATTGGTTTACAGAGTGCCTGGCACATTGTGAGCATGAATAGCTGTGCTCATGTGAATAGCTAGAAGGGAGAATGTCATGCCAAAGCACACTATGAATTAGGGGCCAGAATGCAGTTATTTTGACTCTTTTGCCAGCTGCTCTGTCATTCCTGTATTTGGCCAAATAAAGAATGTTAGTTGTGCAGCTACAGCTTTGGGACTAGGCCTGACTCATTGTACTAGCAAATTTCCTTCTACTATAAGCACATCCAAGCTTTTTTGTGCCAGGAGCCCCTTGGGCTGTCTGGTAAAGGATAAGGCCCTTTCCACTGATAAGGCCCTTTAAATGAGCAAGATAAAATACTTTGGATTTCAAAGAGAATCAAATAGATAAGTAGACAGATGATCTATATCTTTAATTATCCATATTACAGATATCTCTCTGATAGGAAAATGTGATTTCTATCAGTGATAAAAGTATAGGTGGTACTAAAATTATGAGATTTGTTTTGACACTGATAATTGTAAGAAACCATAACTTTCGGTTAGAAAACTGTTGAAAATAAAGATACAACTTTTCCCACTGCAACTCACAAACAATTTGAATTCTGTACAAGGATCAAGGCTACCTTTAACCTAAGTTTGGAATTTCTAGAGCCTTGTGGGCTAAGCTTACCCGCTGAGTAATATTAGTGTTGCTGCTGAAAGCTTAACTGAATGTGGAAAATGTAAAACAAATATGCATATGTATCTTAATAAATTCTGTTCATTATATCTTCTTTGGCTACAACAGTGCTGCATTTGTATCACACTGTTTGTTTATAAAACCTTTGAAACTTCACTCTCCACTCCAAAAGCACTAAGAATATTTCAAATTCTGAATGAGTTTTTTATTCAGCTAGCTGAGTCTCAAACAAGGGTGTCTTGAGGACTGACTTCTCTTGGTTGATTTCCTCATGTGACCAAAACACTTTCTGGTCCTCTATTCCCTCAGTAATGCCACTGAGGCTAAATACAGAAGGTCCTGTAAGACCCCAAGCTTAGAGAAACAACCTCAAGTAAAATGGGTTGAGGAATAAAAGATACGTACTAAGATATGTTCTCAGGAAGACAGCATGGGCACTTTTGGTCCCAGCCTCTTTCTGCCACTCTGGAAAGCTGAATCCATCTCCCCATGCCCATCCCACTGACTCGTCTCTGTAGAGCCTATTTCACCTGGAGCCAAGGACTCTTGGCTGCTCTTTAAGGCAGCTACATGTCACTAGGACTTAACCTTGCACATGTTAATTAGTGAACATTTTGAAAGCAAAAGAGGCCAGTCTTTCAAGGAGTATTGTTTGTGGCTTTCTTTTGAGAAAAAAAGGATTAATATTCCCTTGCCCCAGTATTTTGTAACATAGTTCTAGCCTGTGGCTGGCTTTTTATAACTGCAGCAACAGTCGGCCAGAGTGGATTTCAACTCTAAGGGGGTAGCAATGAGGTCTTTTGGATTCCATTAGCTCCTCACATTCTTCCTGCTGAGTTTTTTTTTTTTAAGGTTTATTTATAGATATCTAAGACATTTTCAGGCATAACTCTCAGTGTCCCAGGTACTGTATTAATAGAGTCATCAGAGGATTTATTTTTTTAATGTCATTTTGGAATGTCTCAGCAATGAGCTCACCTGAAAGAAAACCTATTGGGTAACTTTTTGAAATAGATCCCAGCCTTAGGTAAAAGGAATGTATTAAAACTCCCATTATACTCTTGGGCTTGCTGGGAGGCTTGCATTTAAGCCCCATGAAATATAATGCGTGGGGATCTCGCCAGGATATTGAAGCTCTGAGGCCAGGAATGAAAGGCCGAAGGGAAGCTGTGGAATGCAGTGACCTTGAGGCTTTGTAACTGGTTCCTGAGGTCCAAGCTTTTAATGCCTGCCATTTTAATGGCCCTAGTCATAGCAACCAAGAGATGGTATATCACAGTCTGGCATTTTAGCCCCTTCCCTCTGGAAAAGAAAGAGGTATTCCAGTTAGAGATAGTAGGTAGTAGGAATAGAAGTGCGATGCAGGGGAGGAGGTCATCAACCTTTACTAGGGGGACCCCTGGAGACATACATTCAGGTCAAGCCACCTGCAGCAAACTCCAAGAGAGCCTGTCCCAGCTGTGTGTGTGTGTGTGTGTGTGTGTGTGTGTGTGTGCGCGCGCGCGCGTGCTGTCACTTCATTCTGTAACTTACAGAGGAAATGTTTCCAGTAAGAGAGTCTGTGTTGGAGATTTGGAAATCTTGTTGTTAAGTGGAATGTTGGTTGTCAAGACTACTGGGTGTAAAAAGATTTGACCTTCAGTTGGCTCCAGGGGTATAATTGGGTAGTTTCACACAAAAGTAAATTGTTCAAACATTAAATCAGGAAAAACAGGGACTTTAGAAATAAGACATATTAGAAGAGAGATGATTTTTCTTTGGTGGGTCTACCTGATTTTTCTCTAGGAAAGCTAAAGGGTTTGCCTGTCACCTCTTTTCTGCCTGTTTTTAATAAGATTTTGAATTTAGAAGGCCTGTTCTGTTGAGGCTGCTTAATGTGGTACATATTGGTGGGAATGTGCCCGGAGCTCAGGATGTCTCAGGCATGAATAATTGAGAGAGGAGAGGGGAAAGCACAAATGAGTCTCCAAACAGTACTGTGACACTGTGCATACAGTTCATTTATGCAAATTCAAGTCTTTGTCCTCAGTAGGAAATAATACATCGAGAGATTGCAAATTCAATTGTATGAGTAATTCTGCAACTCCATCCTAAACTGTGTGTATGCATCCTAAAGCAAACAAGAGAGGACTGATTATGCTCACAATTTCACCTTCTGTGTACCCCTCCCAGAATGAGCATCTCATGTCAGTGGTTCTACTTCATATATGTGCTGCATGTGCATGTGACTAGCGTGCATTATAGTTAATATATTTACCATGCAGACTGGGATAGACAAACCTATGTAGGTATGCTGTGTAATTTAAGTATGTTGTGGGCAATTAAGTGAATTTTCAAAGAAAATTTGACCCCACACAATAGTTGCCTCATATGCTAATTTTGAGATGCAACCTATTTAAGTTAATATTTGTATCTTGTGTTGTGTAATGGCCAAGCTCACCTTTTTCGGGAGGACCATGACTTTGTAGCTGAACAATCTTGGCTTTTCATATCAAATCTTAGCTTTCCCAGAGAAAAATAAGTTAACCCATGTGTGGAATGGAAATATTATCTACCTACTTCATAGAGCTGTTTTTATGACTATATAGTACCTTTCATGTGACTTCTCAGTATGATGCCTGTCATATTAGTGGCAGTGAATAAAATGTTAAGTCTCCTTATCCTTGCTGTCATTATAAAAGAATCGTAGTTTTTTTTTCCCCAATATGTGTTAACTGGCTTTGTGATAAGTGATTTAAAAAAAAAATGAATAAAACAGAGAGCAATATTTAAATAACATTAGTCTTTGCCCTCTTACTCTTAGACACAATTATTATGACTTACTATGGTCTATAATATTTTCTCTTTTCAGCTAGTCATTTCCTAAGAATGACTTCCTGTATTTGCACTGGCACTCCTGCACACCCCTGTACTTTGTTCATAGTCCTTGACAGCCTCCTAACTGTTAACACCAGTGTGAATCAGGCATGTGGGTAGGTATTAGGCCAATCACAGCCAGGCTCAACTCCAGCAACATCATCAGTACTGAATATTCTAGTTTATATTGTTGTAAGTAGGGTTTTTTTTAATAAAGATTTATTTATTTATGCATACAAGAACTGGGGTACAGGCCAGAGGTACGGCAGGTGGCAGGGGAGGGTGAGAGGATTCACCAGACGTGGGGAGCAGAACAGGCAGATCTACTGAAATACACTGCTAATGAAAGCAGTGGGGGAGACAGGAGAGATCTGCTGCACCATGTGGGTTCCTTTCCTGGCTAGGAATTGAATTCGTGTTGCAGTGGCTTCAGAGAGCTTCATAGTGCTATGCTTTAACCCGTTGTGCCACCAATGAGGGCTATAAGTAGGGTTTCTTATAGGCCATCCTTGTAAGGATTTCACTGAGGAGAAGAAAAGGTACTGTCATACTCCATCCTAGCAATAGCTCACCTAGCTATCCCTTTTTAATCATAGACAGAAACCTTTGCTATGATAGTGGGGTGTCTATTTCCAGAAACTACAATCTTTTAAACCTTCCTCTTTCTTTTCATTAGATTCATTAAAAGCCATCTTATGATGCTCTGAGTACTATAATTTTTATAAAGTTAAAGGTCAAATGAAAATTCAGTCTTTTTAGGTCATTCAAAAGGAAATATGAACACGTACACCTTATTTTCCCTGATAGCTGAGTCAATGGGTTATAAAGAATTTTCCTTCTGAATATGGACACACTGCCTCATAAATAGGAAGTGAAATCAGTCTGCCTGTTGAAATCATTAACATTTAGATATAACTGTATGTCTTCTAGCTTAAAGGGACTTCTGGAGATGGTTTATATAACCCAGCTTCATTAGGCTATCAGAGAAACATTTGTCCAATTCTCTCTTTTACTCCAGTTAAAATTTCTTGTAGTAAGCAGAAGTGGCCAAAATAATTTTATTGATCCCAGAGCTGACAATAAGTATTAATCAACTCAACAGTTCTTTTGAAAGTTCTAAGTATAGTCCATATGTCATCAGACAACCCTTAAAACAATTACACAGACAAAACCAACTTCCAGGCAAACTTGCAGAATCATGAAGCATATGAAAGTTTTATAATTACCTTTGTAAGTGATTTACATGGGCGATATTATATATATAATTAAGATTTTTGGAGTGTTTATTTTGTACCAGGAAATTTCTTGAACTATTTTTGCTTAATTTTTTTCAGTAACCCTGCAAGTTTTTATTTTGCATTAAAGGAAACAAGTTCAGTGTCTTAATTGAGTTGTTTGCTTCAAATAGAATAGTAAATCCTGAATTTGAGTCTGGGTCTCTAAACTGTTTGCTTCCCTTCAATGCCTCACTGAGGAAAACTGCTTACCTTATTGATTCAGTTGTTTATTTAATCATCCTGCCTTTGTGATCCTCTGTGGCACATCAGGTACTGAAAAGATAGCAGTGAACAAAGCAGAACTGGTCCTTGCTTGCAGAGTTTACATTTTCTGGAAAGACAGATAGCAGAAGGGGAATTATAATTGTGGATAACTGTTAGACTCAAACATAATTTCCTTAAATTAGGGATAATGACATACTGCTGTTTTAGGAAAAGACACTCTCCGGTGACTCTAATGTGCAGCCAAGTTGAGCGCCACTGCCTTTGTGCCTGGCATGTAATAAACTCTCAGTTACCCTTAATTCATTCTTACCTGATTCTGAAGTGGAGTCTAACATGGCCCCTCATTTTTCACATATGTAGAAGGGACTTGGTATTTGCTTTGTTGGTATTTTATTTCTCCTTTCCAGATGACTGCCACTAACTATCCTTTTTCCATAGGTGACTGAAGGCCATTGGAAGTGGGGCAGTGTCACTGTCCAGGTGAACAGTGCCTTCTTCACAGGCATCTATGGGATGTGGAACCTGTATGTTTTTGCTTTGATGTTCTTGTATGCACCATCCCACAAGAACTATGGGGAAGATCAGTCCAACGGTGAGTTCCAATCTCCTTAGCTTAGCTTAATTCCGGATAAGTATGTTTCTCTCTCTGTAAGATTTAAGTAACAAAGACTCTGGGCTTCCCAATCAAACTCCCTCCAAGTGTTGTCCTAATACTGTGAGACAATGAATGAGCACTGCCAGGGACTCTGGAGCCATTAGACTAAAGAACAGCCAGATGTTTAAGTTCTCATATCTTAATCTTCAAAATAGGTTTGGAATATTAGATTCCAGTCTAATGCCCCAGTTTTAGTACAAAAATTAAATTTTGTTCTCCTCAATTTCTTGAGCAATAGTGAGTATTGGAATATATTCCACAAATCAGGTGGAGTGGGACCAGGAAATCTAAAGATAGAATTGGCTTTATTTTACTTTCTCATTGTCCAGCAAGGGAAATATACCCAAACCAGGAACTCTCCTCCTGCTCCCATAGCTTTTCTGTCCTTTAATGCTAGTACATGCTATTTTTGATGTTTACTCATCAAGCACAAGAGATCATTTTATAGATGAGGAAACTGAGACCCAGAGATGGGAAAGGTTTGCCTGGGATTTCTATTCTTACATGGTAGAGGGCAATGACTGTCACTGTCTCAGCCAGTTAACTTGGTTTAAGTGGCCTGGCAAACAACTGTTCTGATAGCTCCCTTTTTTTATATTTAGCCTTACATTGCTGTCTATTAATCTCCTTTGTCTATTTCATACCTACTTTACCATTGCCACATACTTGCTGTTCCCCAGATAATAGACTTTCCTTCTCATATCTAAGCCAGCATTGGCCTCAGAGTAGAGACCAGAGTTTTAAGGTCTTCGTGTTCTCTGGTAGCACCAAGGGTTGGCCTGGCTTCTGGATGAGCTCAGTGAGTGTGTATTGATGATATTACCTGCCTCTATTTCTCTCTAATGAAACTTTGTCTCCTCTGGGCCCATTCAAAATGTTTCTTCCTCTTTGAAACTTATTCCTGATCACCCCAGTTGGAATCTAACAAATTATATTCAGTATATTGCCACAGAATGTTGCTAGGCTTCCATAATCAAATAAGTTTGAGGATCCTTGGATTAGTCAACATTAATGAGACTTTTACTGTGAGACATCTCAATGTCTTTAGTGCATTAATTTGTACTGAAAGTCATTTAAAAACAGGTGGAGGTAAGAACATTTCCCCAAAATTTTTAAATCATCTGGCCCCAAAACTTTTTTTTCCAAACAGTATATCTTTTGGAACGAGTGTTCTAAGGAACAAGCCTGGGGGAACATGATTATATTTCTCTGTGTAGATGTGGTAGAAGAGTTGGCCTGTGACTTTGGAAATCATGAAGTGAATTAAAGCTTTGATGTAAGAGTTCTAGATTCACTTGCACGTTTCACAGACTAGGCAGTAATCTTGAGAGGGGAATAAAAGAGAGGGTGAGGACATGAAACATGGAGCAGCAGGAGAGAGGGGCATCTGTGCCAAGGGTGGTATCATGGTCTCAACCACCTTCAGTCTCCAGTGGCACAACTACCCCTTCTGTGCAAGACCTCCTGGCATCAGGCTTCTTTCTTCCAACTCGACCTCTCTGTTGTAAGGACTTCTTGTCACACTCACTTTCAGACCCCTCATTGGCATGGATCCTCGGCAAAAAAATAAAGACAAAAACTCTTGGTTTGATTGACTTTCTTTCTGAAAAGCTTGCAAGGCAGGCAGCTTTCAGCTTCCTATTCATTGCTAACACTCAATCTTTTACTATCTGCATGGAAAATGGGTGCTGCAGCCTCACAAACAGTGGCCCTCCAGAATGCAACAGGAATGGAGTCTGGGCTTGTGAACAAGAATCTTGATTTCATTTCATGGTCTTCCTGTTGGATTTTGACAGAAACCACATGGACCTGTCCTTGGGAGTATATTAAGCAGGAACCAAGTAGAGGTGGAGCTCCTGCCTTTCAGGGAAATACCAACAAAACATTTGGTGGACTTCCTCAGATGTTGGAAAGACAGTTCTCATGGCTAGTCGTTATTGAATACTGTCCCTGTGCTAGTATTTCATGCATACAAGCTCTCCTTGTTTTTGCTACATGACAGTGGCAAACTGCTTAACCTCTCAGTGCACCACTTCCAACTATAAGTCCATTGAACAGTGAAATTCTATGGTTCTCTTTCTTCTGGTTAGCAAGGAAAGTGCCTTCTATGCGGCAACTTGGGGGTAATTCTGTCACAGTGAAGGAGTTTCTGAAGACTGATGAGAATTTGTCCAACTCCAGCACTTTGGCAAATTGCCAGCCCTGCAGAGGCCCGGTGCCTGCCTTCACCAAGTCTGACCAGATTCATAGGTGTTCAGTAGCTGCAGTAAAAACTTCTCACCCTCCACATCTACCCTTGTAGGATTAAAATCTTGCACTTGATCTGTGCCCCATCAGAATGTTTTTGTTGAATAAAGTTTGATTGGTATTATTGCAGAAAGCTCAAAATCTAGTTACCAACAGAAAGTCTTTCCCCAAAGCTCCTGCCACACAGTGTTTGAAACCTGGCATGGCTCTTTTAGATGGTCACTATGACTGGGACATGACAATGGCCTTTACTGTCCAGGCTTTAAGGATGCTAAATTTCCTGCAATAAACTATACTGTCTCTCAGAATAGAGAATTTCCCTGCCCAAAATGCCAGTAGGACCCCTGTTAAAAAGCATTCTTTGAGCAGTTAGTGGATGGAGTCTTTGGGGACCCAGTGCTGACCAGAAGCACATATGTCACATGATTTAGCAGCTCTCCAGTGGGACATGGTCTGCTGTGACTTTGTCCCTTGGCAGTGTGTGTGCTCTTCACTTTCCTGCAGGGTGCTGTGACCATCTGCATTTGGAAAGTGGCACTCCCTTGTTAGGTTCTCTGGTCGTTTTTCTTTTCTGCTCTCTTCACATTTCATCTCTCAATCTGCCTCCAGACCATGCAATGAATCCTAGGAATAATGAGATATATGCCAAGATTTTTAAGCTACTTGAAAAGAGCTCTTTGGGAATATTATATGGAAATCTACAAAACGAACTCTCAGAGGATACACTGTATTTTTTAAATTCTCTGAGTCTCTAGATGGCATTGTTTCTCTCCCCTACCTTACCATGATACTTGTCCTTTCTTTAGGAAAGTTTTTATTTTTAAGTTGGCTTGGACTCCCCCTTTTCCTTACTTTTAAAGTAAGGAGCCAAGAATTTAGATTTCTGGCTATGGAGAATGAATCCCAGGTGTGTGGTTCTTCTTGCCTTCATGAGATGGACTCTGGATGGACCTCTGGAAAAAGCCCTTTTCCAGAATTTGGCAAGCAGTTTCTGATATAGCAGAGGTGTAAGGGGTGAGGAGAGAGAAAGAACTGCTGGAAAGGGTTGATTTGGGGGGGGGGGGGAATTAGAGAGAGATGCCAGAAAGTGTGAAGAAAAAGTGGGTAAGAAGGAAATAAAGCAGAGATCAAAGACTTCTTTTTAGTTTTTCTTTTTCTTTCTTTTTTTTTTTTAACACATAGAAGAACTGGGGTATAGACAAGAGGTGCCAGGGGATGGAATATTTACCAGAGACAAAGTGGAGAACAAAACAGGCAGATCTACTGAAATACACTGCAAAGGGGAGCAGTGGGTGAGACAGGAGAGGTCTGCCATGCTGTGTGGGTTAGCTCCCTGACGAGGGATCAAACTCAGGCTGCAATGATGACAGTGCTGAGACTAACCCGTAGGTCACCAGGGACACCCCAAAGAGAATAGACTTTTGTATCACCTTTTGGATATAGGAATGAACAGAGGGAAACAAAGAGGACAACAGATTCAAGAGAAGGTTGGTTTTCAAAGCATTTTATACTCATACCTGTTTGTCTTTTATTGTGTGGATCATAAGGTGAACCTTCGAAATGAACTACCCAGCATCTCAGTGTTCAACATTGTGCTTTGTTTAAGGTGAAGTCAGTGAAGCCCAAAGGAGTGACACAGACACAGCCCTTAGTGCCCCAGAGCCAGTGCTTGGGAGATAAGATTTCATCTGTCTTTTGGGGACATGGAATAGCTCAGGCCAGAAATTTTTCAGCAGATCATTTGGTGCCATGGTAGTCTGGCCCTCTGGGGTGCTTCCTGTTGGTTGTTTTATCACAGTTACCATGATGGCATACACATGTGCACTTCAGTCACTTTACACACACACACAAGTATATATAAATTGGTTTGGACTCCCCCTTCTTACCATGAATTCAGATCTCTTTTGTATGTGTATGTGTGTACCTATGTCTATGTCTATATGCATATGTGTTTATGTGCATTTGGGGGCATAGCTACATGCAAATAGACATACAACTATACACATATTTTTAAATTTAGCAAAGATATTTTAAAATTCTTTCTTTTAAAAACCATTCCTGTTTTCTGTGCTGTTTCTGTAACCACTTTATGAGTTGTTCTGGATGTCTCCCAAACAGATATGAATTGCAGCAGGCTGATGTTAACCCTTAATTCATTAGAAAACTCACCTCCCAAGGGTACAGAAGTACACACCTGAAAACTGTCCAGACACCCTCAACCACCATGAAAACTGTCCATACCTCTTCAGTCATCAATTTGTGTAGGGGGGAGGGAAGTTGGAGTTGCTTAGGAAGTCAGACAATTCTTGATAATAGCTTTCATTTTTGTGTTCTTTAATCTGTAAAATTCTAGTCAGAACTTCATAGAAAAAAAGTGAGAAATGAATTTCCTGACTGGGTGATGATGATGAAGACAGTAGAAAATGGTATAATTGCCAGCCTGTCCCTTTCTATTTCTATTTTCACTAAATGTCTTCTGTCTGACACATTCATAATGCTGGAAGCCACAAAAACAACCCCAGGTCCCCTATCTTGTAATTGACTACCTATGGTGGCACTTCTGGAGGCTTCTAAGGTCTCCTGTTGCTGTTTCATGGGAAAGGTAGCGATAGCTTTTTATTGTCTCCATAAATGTTGGTTTGAGTTATGAGTCTTTGATAGTGGCTGCCTTGAGGTCTCTTCCTCGTGTG